TGAGTGATCTAACGAACTACTTGGGACAAACTTATGTGGGAGTATGAGAGATGTTTGTTCATGCATGTTTCTGGGGTCTCACTTTGGGGTGTCTTTTCAATAGGTTAGTTGCTTAAGATGCTCGCCAAGTGTTGGAGCCACAGGTAAACGAGATGGATGATGGGAGGGAAAACTTGGGATAACGATAGGACTGACCTTACTAGGAGTTAGGATCAGGGCTAGCCCATAATCTCATCCAGAGGTCGTGTAGGCTATCATTGATTATGAATCATCAAACAAGTTTCAGAAGATAGTCCCAAGTATAACTTGCTTTGTCTTTCTGTCTTTTAGCTTTATATAAATCTTGACAGCCTCCTGTTCCTACGGGAGGCGCTGCCGAAGTTTTCACAAATCTGAAAGAGTTAGTCATTTTTTGGCTCGTAGAAATTCTGAAAATGCACTTTTCCTACGGGAAGCGCTGCCTAAATTTCGTAGAATTTGAGGAGATAGAATATTTTTCAACTAGGAGCTACTTAGAATGTTGATAGGGGAGGTGTTCAGTGACTAGGTACTAGTAGAGGAGCTAGGTTACGAATTAGGGAGTATTCCCCTTTTTGGCATGAACATAGTAATGGTTCTTTTTGGCCTGTACTGTGATGCAGGTTTCCGTATTTCGCCTGAAGGCTTGATCTTATCAACCTGATCCTTCAAAAAGGATCACTCTTCTGTTATCACTGATAACAGGTCAGTTGCCGATTCGTCAGTTTACGACTCAACTTTCCCATTTCTCCTGCCTCTCAACCTAAGGCCTTGACCCTTGCCGGGATTTATGTGTTTCTTTGGGTTTTCACCCAGTTTCTTTATAAATGGTCATTTCTTAAGGGCTGAGTATTTTTGTTGAGGATTGGTGGGGAAATGGTTGGGCTCGTGTGCATAAGGCAGGGTGTGAGCTGCAGAAGGTTGGAAAGTTGACCCCTTTAGTGTGTGTGATGTTGTTTGTATGATTGCAGGTATGAGTTGGAGAATCCCGACTGGGACGTCCTGGACAAGGACCTCGAGTTTCAGGCTCGGGACTAACGTCCGACCAAATAAAATCATTGAGTAAAGAAAAATGTAGGCGTGCGGTCGCGTAGCCCCATGAGGGTCCCTCGAGCGTACGCCTACTCTGACTGAAGGGCTGTCCCCAATAACTCCATCCGGCGGGATGTTTATGTTTTCCTCCTGCTAACGTCAAATATTCTTTTTCTTTTTTCTTGTTTTACATTACGTTGGTGGAACGATAGAGTTCCGAGCGGAAGGGTTAGCGTGTCGCTGGTGGTGCGCCAGACAACTCACCACCGCTCCGAATTCCTTCCTGCCCTAGGGACCATCTTACCCCGCACCCCTTGGGACACCTCAGGGTGCTGAAGATGGTAAGACCCTCAGACCGGTTTTACGCTCACTAAAGGGTTACCACCCTTAGCGCGCACCTCAGCCGACGCCTGAGCGTCGAGAGCGACCCCATGGCTTAAATGAGGCCACTCGGGTATGGGCACTACATAAAGCGCCGTCATTATGACCTCGTGCGTAGGATTCTATTGCTAGTCTGTATGCGTGGGTCTTGCGTCCACGCGGCTTTATACTAAATCACGCGCGCAACACTTACCGATTTCCGCACCTAAAAGTTATGGGTCGAGCGGAAAGGACAAAAGAGCATTATGGCCAGTAGACCCGAGTTTCGGTAGCGCGAAACGACGCGTGGGCGGGTATCAGTCCCAGTCGGCCTATGGTGATCCGCGTACGAGCCTCCAACGTCTCGAACATCGGGTTGCCTATGGGTCTGATTTTAGGCATCATCAGGACGCAACTTTCGTGTTGACCTACCCCTTCCATTTAAGACGGCTATCAGACTATGGGATAGACAGAGAAAGGGAAGGGGGTGATCCTCCTTTTCTATCAACAAGTTTTTCCTCTTTTAAGTTTTCATGGTGGACGTTGTGGTCCGTAGTAGCCGTCAAAGTCAAACCCCTTGATTTTGGCTACCACGACAGCCCTGAAGCTGTCTACGCAACCCCTCTGCACAGGGTGCAGAAGAGGGTGTGGTCTTCCACCGCGCATGGCGGTTATCTAGCGTTGAGAGGGTAACTCCTCAAAGCGCTTGTCAACCGACACTTGAGTGTCGAACACGACCCTCGAGGTTATCAAGGGCCACGAGGTTACGAGAACTACGTAGTACCCCATCAGCGTGAATGCTTGCGTATGCCCGCACGGCTGGTCGATATGAGGAGGTCATGCGCTTGCATGACTCTTATACGAAAGTCCATCGCGAGTACCCGATTCTCGCTGCACAAAGTTATGGGTCGGATACTGAAGGGACTAGGAGTGTTGTCGTGTTGTGGTGTTGTTCCGAGTGTTTGTTTTGTGTGTTCCCATGTGTTGCGTGTGGGTAGATGCAAGTGTTGTAGTGTAACGCGTGGATGCGTCCTAGTCGACCAACGTCGAGTCGCGTTTGGGACGTCAGCCCCCCAGAACGTCGATTCTCGCACGGGTTTCATTTTGGGCGTTTGACCGCGAGTAGCCCCTATGCTACAGCGAACGAGAAACGCCCTCGGCTGGGCCACCTCTGCAATTGCATACGAAAAGCCTTCGCATATGGTTCAGTAGCTCGGCGGGGATACGCCCACCTAAGGGATGGTGACAGCTCCCGCAGGTGGAGGTAAGCGGTGCCTCGCGTGACCCTGTCCTGTCGTAGGGGCTCGCGAGAGGTACGGCTGGCGCACTTGGCCGGAGCGGCAAACGCTCTCCGGGACAAGTCCTGCAAAATCCTGCGTGACGCGATTGGGAGGGTCCCCGTGAGGGACCGATGCGCTCGACAGGCGGCGCCGTTGCCGGGGATCTCGGTTGCCTACCAGGGTCCTTAAGAAAACGAACGCAAGTTAAGTGCAGGCTGATGATCTAGGCAAAACGACAAAAACTTATGATTTGGATTGTCTTATATAAGAGGATTTTGCATGAGATAATAATAAGACTAAGTAATTAGAAGTGCGACTTAAGGTTGTATCGGAGGTTTCGAGTAACTAATAGTAGAGTGGTTGGCTGAACCTAGAGGTGGAATGGCTAGATAGAGCTTAGGACAAGTCCCCCAGAACTTGACAAGTTGTCTGATGGGCTACATTTTTTCCTAACAGGTTGGTTAGAGAGAGGGTGTAAAGATGTCGGACGTAGATGGGATCGAGCGAGGCCTGACTGCTACGCCGGAGGACTTCGTCAAGGCCATTGAGAAAAGGGAGCTGGCACGACTACAGGTGTCGAAGGTTGACATCTTCCTGTTTGAAGGGGAAAGGGTGTCTAAATGGCTGGAGCCGCTGGAACAAGTTACAGTCGAGGTACCTGATGAAGATAAGTTCAAGTTTCTACCCAGATATATCTGGTAGGAAATCCGACATGAAATAATGAAAGTAGCTGCTGGAGCGGGGGGAGATTGGGCCGAATTCAAGGGAGAGATGCAAAGGCGTTTCAAGCTAGGGGATGGTCTGCTAACAAAGGCGAACCTAGAAATGTTGCAGCGATATGAGTTCTCCACGGTGGGGGCTTTCGCAATGGCATTCGAAAAAATGGCAAGAAAAGTCTCAGGGATGGTTGAAGAAGAGCAGTGTGCCACCTTCCTAGGGCACTTCAAGAATTGGGAGGCGTATGCGCTGATCAAGAAGGGTGCGAAGGGGAAGAAGTTAACTTGGGCTGCCATAAAAGAAGGCGTGATAGAGGGAGAGTTGGACCAAGTGGACATCTTTCAAATGCGACAGGCTAGGAAGAAGAGGAAGGCCTCGGATGCCATGACGAGTGATGGGCGAGATTTTAAGAAAATGGTAGAGGATGCAGTTGCCCAACTCGAGGCGGCGAAAGAGGCAAAGACAACAAGAAAGGCTATGGCGGCACCACAGACCCAGGGGAAAGCGAAGAAGGCGGTGGTGCAAGAGGAGGAAGAAGAAGAGAAAGAGGAGTCAGAACCTCTAAAATTAACAAAGGCTTAGAGAAAGGCGAAAAATCTGACTCAAGGGGGCCAAGGCTCAGGAAGGGGTCAGGTCCCGCAAGCAGCAGCACTGCCACCCCCTTAGTCGCCCAGTCAGGCCACGCCAACACCCTATGGGCCATGACCGGGTTATGGACCTCCAAGTCCTTGGTCTGGACACTGTTCATACATACCATGGCCGGTGAGTGGGCCGCATGGATCATGCGCAGGAGCGCCATTGAGCACGGCTTCCTGCGGGTGTCCAGGACCCTAGTCTCAACAAGTAAGCCACCCGAACCCGCAGTCGAACCAACCTCAATAGTCGGCCCCACAAGGATCGCAAGGAAACCAAGGCGGCGGACGTGGACAAAATCAAGGATGGGACCGAGGCGAGGAAATGGTGGCCGCGGAGGAAACGGAAGGGGAAATGGTGGTGGTAATTCCACAGGAGGAGGAAATGGGGACTGAAACGCGTCAGGAAGTCAGGGTAGTCAGGAAGGTGGACGAGGCTTTGGTAGAGGAAGAATAGATTGAAGGAATGTCATTTGCTGGCATTGCGGGCAGAAAGGCCACACCATCAAGTTCTGCCACATCCGGAGGAACGATGAGGATGAAGGTTTAATTAGTACCAATTATGATTGGGACATGTATGATAAATTTGGGTACTACCTTGACTCAAAGACCCCTGGCGGAACAAGGAAGGAAGCCCTACGACAAGCCGAGGCCGACGCGCCACCCACTCCTCCGGCTATGTTCCGGATTTGGCAAGAAAAGGAGGTCCGCTGTGACATAAGGGTGGAAGAAGTAGGAGAAAACGAGGAAGTGGACCAGGGAAGGAAAACCGGCACCATCAAGGAAGAACCGATCGTAATAGAGTCTGATGATGAGATAGAGGAGGATTATTGGAATGAGCCACGAAACGTGAAGATAGGGGAAGATTGTTGGAGGGAGGCCCGACAAACGATCGAAAAGATGGAGGATTTGGTGGCTAAAGTCGGGAGGTACTAGCAGAAACTGACCGATATGTGTGAAGAGGTTAAGGAGTGGAGAGGTAAGGAGTCGCTGGTGTACCTCTACAATATGGGTCCAGGGTCGCAAGGCGGATCTGGAAATACGATTTCAGGACTGACGCCTCGGTCCGACATGGCTTATAGGCCACCCTCCAGATGGGAAAGAGTACCGCATGCCGTCAGGACGAGGGCCAAGGGGCCAATAAGCTCTGAGGAGCCGACAAAGGATGTTCCTAAGCCTAGTGGGGAGAAAGAGGCTGTAGATGTTCCAGGGGAAGAGGATGATGAGGACGACAGGTTGAGAAAAGAAGAGGATGAGAAGGCCGAGCAAAGGGCCAAAAAGAGAGGCGTCAAACCTGATACGGATAAGAGCTCAGAAGTAAAGAAAAAGAAGTATGTTGTTCGAGTGGCGGAAAGGTTTGACGTGGAGGAGATAATGGACAGGATCCTGGAGGGCCATAATCATCTTATGAACCTAAAGGATGTCCTGGCTTCGGCGCCAAGGCTCAGGGATGAGCTAAAAGCGTGATTATCTAGAAAGATGGTGGCCAGTGTGCAATTAGGGACCATAATCCCTAAAGAGGCGGAATGGGTTAAGACTGGAACAAAGATGGATTGGAAGTTTGTTGCATGTGGGTGTCTAGATGTAGTGGTAAAGGGAAAGACTTGCACAACGATTGTGGACAGTGGCGCAGAGATGAACCTCATAAAAGAGGAGCATGCTTTGCGCCTAGGGATGAAAATAGATCGCTCTGACAATGGGGTCTTGATGGGGGCGAACAGTCGGTCAGTATTTATAGGGACCACATCATCAGTGATTCTAGAGATTGGAAAGTGAAAGTAAGGAGTTGCTTCTTCGTAATGCCCGATCTTGATCATCCTATTTTACTGGGTAGATCGTTCCTAAGTCGAACACAGACCGTCATACTTAACAAACATGACGGGACTATGTTCCTCGTCCTATACAATCCAGTATGCGGAAATTATGAGGTTATCACTTGCAAGAATACAGGACCTAGGAGTATAAGGAACCGGCCCAACCCTGGTTCTTTCACTATAGAAGAATCAGAAGAGGAGAGGTTGAGACTGAAAGACAGTAAGTTCGAAGAGGAAAGAGGGCCAAAGACACTGACCCTTAGTCTAGCAAATATAGGTGATACTATAGACATAGTGTCGACCTATGGGATGGTGGACCCAGAGGTTGTGGAAGCCTTGAGAGAGAAGGTGGTGGAACAGATGGGAGCAGGAGAAATGAAATTGGTATATCGAACGTCGGGAACGATAGGTGGAGCAATTGGAGCACAACCCCAAAGCGCAACTCGACCTTTTTTGGTAGATCAGAAGTATCATCCTGTTCCTGTACTCGTGGCTGAAGAGCAAGAAGTTTACTACGAGCGGGAACGAGAGTTGATACGGCAGATGCGAGAAGACGCGGAAAAGGGGCCGTGCCGTATCACTCCTAAGACAGAGAAAACGCTGATTATAGGGGAGTCTGGCTTCCTTACAAAGCAGGAAGAGAGGTTTATGGTGAAAACCATAAGAGGAAGGCACGCTGCATATGCCTTCAATGATGATGAGAGAGTTCGTCTGGACGTGGACATAATCCCAATGATTATGATACACACCGTGCCTTACGAGCCATGAAACTTGTGAGGTGCGCGGTATCCTAATCCAGCTGATGAAGAAAAGGTAGTTAAATACCTTTACGGGAAAATCCGCATACATGTGGCAGACTACTCGAGTGGACCGTATGCCTCCCCTTGGTTTTGCTTTGTCAAACCCAATGGGACTCTAAGGTGGGTACATGATTTGCAGCGCTTGAATGTTGTAACATTGAGAGACGCATGTGGCCTCCTCAACGCTGATGCGCTGTCAGAGAGCCATAATATCGCTCATAGACTTATATTCGGGTTATGACCAATTTCTTGTGTACCCATCTGACAGGCCTATGACGGCTATGCATACCCCTCGAGGGTTGATCCACATGAACGTCGTACCGCAAGGGTAGACAAATGCGGTCGCCATGGTCTTGAGGCACATGGTGAGGGCAATGCACCCCATAAGTCATCACATTACGCAGCCTTATATTGATGATCTGGTCGTGAAAGAGCCTAAGGAGAAGGATGAGCGGGAGGTGATGCCGGGAATCAGGCGCTTTGTCTGGGATCATATGCAAGACTTGTGCAAGGTCCTGGACCTTCTGAAGGAGCATAACCTCACTGCCAGTGGGCCGAAGTCGAGACACTGCATGAGTGGGGCAACTATCTTAGGATTTGTGTGCGACGAGAGAGGTCGTCGACCCGATACTAAGAAGACTAATAAGATTCTCGAGTGGCCAACCCCGTTCGAGACTATCACGGAGGTAAGGAGCTTCTTGGGAATGTGTGGGTTTTGAAGGATCTTCATAAAGGGGTTTGCGGCGAAGACTGAGCAGTTGCGAAAGCTTGTGCGTCAGGGCCAAGATTGGGAGTGGGGAGACAAGCAAAAGTCAGTTATAGAAGGTCTGAAGAAAGAGTTTGTGGAAGGAGGTCTAGTATTGGGGGTACCAGATCATGCGGCGGTGATGACCTGACCTTTCATTGTTGAAACGGATGCAGGGCCAACTGCCCTGGGAGGTATGTTAATTCAACGAGATCCCAATGGAGAAGAACGACCACTAAGGTTTGAGAGTCGGACACTGAATACGACTGAGAGGAATTACTCTCAGTTTAAGCGCGAAACCTTGACAGTTCTTGACTGTTTAAGGATTTTCAAAAACTACCTCTTTAGCAACAGGTTTGTATTGAGGATGGACCCAACTGCTCTAGCTGGTTCTCTCAAAAACTTCGCTCCTTCAGATCCAACTATCGCCAGATGGTTAACGTACATCTGGATGTTTGACTTTGAGTTGGAGCGAATTCCGAAAAATAAGAACAGGGCAGATGGGCTGAGTCGAGTCGACTGGGATAAGAACAACCAAGGAGTGATCGAGGATACTCCACCAGTTGACGGGTTCCTGGACAGTGAGGAGGATGTGAGACTTCACATCAACTCCTGGTCATTGGCCGTGGGTAACTATGTTACCCCAGGGCGACCTGTGTGGCTTGCGCCTCCAGGGCAGGTACAACGACCAGACCTAGTTCTTAAGCCCTATATTGAAGAAGACTATTGGGGAATGCCAGGTGTGGATTGGATGATGGAGCTGGCTTTAGCAGGCAAGTACCAGCTACATGAGGACTTGCTCACAATGGAGGATGGGGCGCTGCAGGTGGGCAAGCACGAGAAAGTGATAGATGAGGTGTATCTGTTGGCAAATGCTCTGCTTCAGGAAGAGGTGGTCAGGAATACGGTGCAAGATCAGGAAGAGAGGGATAATGTGATCCACGAGAGGGAAAATGATGATTTTGAGGAAGGTGAGATTAAGGAAGCGTTTCGGGCAGAGAAATATGAGGGATTATACCTTGAACTCGGAATGCTTCTGTCGTGTGAGATGAGGGAAAGGGACGCTTGCGCGATAGTTCTGAAGATGAGGCCAAACTTTCTAGTAAGGGATGGTCATCTGTTCATGAGAAGCAAAGGGAGGACTCCCAGAAGAGTAGTCTGCGGCGTCACTCGCCATATTGACGTTATGGCAGCACTGCACGATGGTACGACAGGTGGCCACAGAAGCACGGATACGACATATCTCAAGATACACGAACTGTACTATTGGGATGGCATGGGCCAGATGATCGACGATTATTGTAAATCTTGTGTACCATGCCATGAGCGATCCTCTCTTAGACCTAGGGAGCCGCTTCACCCAAGATATGTTCGTGAAGTTGGAGCGGTCATGCACCTGGATCTGTTGGCAATGCCGCTGGGAATGGGGAGTTATAACGTTATCTTTGATGCGAGGGACAACCTCTCCGGATTTGTAGATGGCAGGGTCATTCACACGAAGACCGGGGAGACGCTGGCCTGATGCATCGAAGAATATTACCTGCGCTACCCCTTTGTTTCCAGATTTGTGATAGATAGAGGGTCCGAGTTCATCTGTGCAGAGGTGAAGACACTTTTGAAGAAGTATGGGGTAATCACCGAGTATATTACTGTGGCGCACCCTCAAGCTAATGCACCTGTGGAAAGAGGACATAGCACCATCACGAACCTTCTCGCCAAACGGAAAGATGGCAGGCCCAATCAGTGGCCGAATTTTCTAAGGGTCGCTTTCTTCGTGGATAATATCACTGTCAGGAGAAGCACCGGCTACGCACGAGTCACACTATGGTATAACAAGCAGGCAATGTTTCCTATTGAAAGCTTCCTAAAGACCTGGAGGCGGCAATACCTCTAGACTAATCTGACGTTTGAAGAACTGCTTGACTCAAGGGCACGTCAGATTGGCGCTATAGAGGACAGTATTGAGGAGACGGCCAGTAGGACGGCTGACAGCCGTACCAAGGACAAGTTCAGATGGGATAAGATGGCAAGAGTAAGGAAGGAACCTCTTAAGGTGGGAGACATTGTGCTACTATACGACTCGTCCCTGGAGAAGCAGTGATCACAAAAGTTGGACAAGAGGTGGTTGGGGCCATATAGGGGCACCAGGTGTGGTGAGCATGAAGCCTACCAGATTGAGGAGTTGAATGGGACGGCGTGGAAAAACTGGGTGTCAGGCTCGAGGCTAAAGAAGTTCGTTGCTCAAGACGAGGTGAGCGTGGACCTCACCGGTTAGAATCATCCTCTAAGCACTGTATATAGAAACATTAGTATAAGTAGAATGTATATGATATTGTTCTTAGTAGAATAGTGTGACAGGTTGTGACTTTTTTGGTAGACTCGTGTGTGTATGTATGCATATGTAGGTAGGCAGATAACAATGATAGTTGTGGGAGAGCTATGTCTGTCTCCTGTGGTGTTTGTCCAACCTACTTACCCTCTGTGTGCTTTTGTTTGTCTCCTCCTTGTTGTGCAGGCTTGACACCGCTTGGGGAAGCCATGCCAAGAGGGAGGGGAGGGGCAGAGCCAGTGGAAACCCCATTGGGGGTGACCAAACAGAGGACGCAGATGGGGACCAGGAGAGAAGACAAACCTCCAGTTTTCCAGGGAGGGAACATTTAGTTGTTCCTGATTGAGTTTGAGAGGCATGCTCGGGAGTTTGGATGAGATGGCACCAGAATGTTGAGGGAGGTGCGAGGCACAGGCGAGTGGACAGACCCCATCGCCAACCTTGTCAGGGAGTCACTAACCTGGCAGGATTTTGAGAGAAGGATAGAGGGTTTGCAACCGTCGTCAGTAGGGAGAGATGGACAACCCATTCGATTCGACTCCACTAACCTGGGGGAGTTTCTATGGGCCTATGACCGATATGCGGATGAGCTTGATATTTAAGGAGAGCGGAGGATGGGAAGCTTCCTCCTGTACGTGAGACGACACATCAGACCCTTTGTCAGGTCTATTGTGGCACCTGCTACGAACTGGGGACACTGCAAGAAGCTATTCTGGAGCCACTATGCAACAACACGTGAAGCAGGGGAAAGAAGGAGTCTGGAAAAAAAAAGGAGAGATCCAGAAGCAGAGGAGAGGAGGACCTTTGAACGAGGCATGTCATCAGGGACTCAGAGGGAGGATAAAAGGAAAGAGCACAAATCCCATAGGCACGAGAGAGCAGGAGGTTCAGGTGGTCCAGGCGTGCCCCCACAACCTTCTCAGGGGGATGTGGATTGTCCTATGCCACACATAGAACCAGACGTACCTCAGGAGCCACATGTGCAGGAGCAAAGGGAGGAGCAGCCTGCCCAGGAAAAGAAACTGGACAGGAAAGAGAGAGCAGCAAGGGAGCAAGAGATCAAGGTTCAACTCAGAATGAAGAACCCTGCAGAGCTACATGAGAGGATGCAGTAGAGAAAAGAGCCTGAGGAGGTGGATGCCAAGAGTGGTAAGGACACTCGCACTCAGGAGGAGGACCTTCCCCTATTTTCAGAGGTCTGGGTCATCTTTGACAAGTTGATAGACGCTGCAGGAAGGTCTGGAGGGTATCATCAAGAGATGGGGGTCAAGTTAGTCTCTACAGACCTACTCAACCTGAGGGGCGTGATGAAGGAAGGCTTCGCAGCAGCAAGAGCTTCAGATAAGAAGGTTGGGGAGAGGCTGACAAAAGTGGCACAAAAAGTGTATGGCCAGAGGGTAGAATGGGAAAGAGAAATTGAGAACTTGAAGAAGGATTTGGAAAGGCAGAGCAAGGAGATGGAGGCGGTAAAGGCAGATATGGAGAAAATTTGGGCGGAAAACGAGGCCGTCAGGCAGGTCAACCAGACGCTTAATAAGGTCAATGACGCCCTGAGGGCCTATGTACATGCACAATAGGTCTCCTTCCAAGCAAAGGAGGCTGAATGAGAGAAGAGGATACAAGACCTCGAGACCAAGTATGCACGACAGGCTTCAACTGCAGTAGTGGATTGGACAGAGGTCCAAGGGTTTGAGATCAGGGAACAACCTGCAGAAGAAGCCTTCAAATGTCAGAAGGAAGAAGAGAAGGCAGACCAGCAGGAGGGCGAGGAGATTCCCTTGATAGACAAAGAGATGTTGGAGCCGCGAGGGGCACTAGCTGAGACTCGGAAAGACTCAAAGGTCGGAGGGTTTGAGTGGAGGATGCCGGCTGGCCTCACACTTGGACAGGAGTTTGCGATGCCAAAAGGGAGGCCACCAGCTGAGGCCATAGGAGTTGAAGTGGTTCCGCCTACAGCTCAGGGAGAGACCATGAGACCGCCGGAGGGTCAGGAGAGCGTGGGGCAGACCATGGTTGAGGTTGAGTCAAGGAGGGACTTGAAGGGATGTCAGGAATCGGCTATACCTCAAGATATGCCTCTGGTTGCAGGTCTGCGGGACGCATTAGGATCTTGGGCCACTTGTTCAGGGTCAGGGGGACGTGGCGACGAGCAGGTGATGCGAGCAGATGACAGAGCGACCTGCCCCACTTTCCCAGAGGCTCCACAGCAGGAGGTCACCAGTAAGGTTTCGGAAGTCCCGTCATCAGTACCCTCGCAGGAAGGAGGCAAGATGTCCCAGAAGAAGGTTGGCAAATGTTTCTACTGTAAGAAGGGCAAACACCGGTTTGACGATTGCCCCAAGAGCCTCAAGGACGAGGCAAATGGTTTGGCCGTTAGAGAGTCATCTTGAGTGTGGAGAGATAAGAATGGAGTCCTGGTTCCTAAGACTCGTGATGGGGTGCCGGCACAGTTGTATAGGCAGCTGCAGGAGGTCATGAGCAATCAGGAGTAGAGTTCTCTAATAAGGTCTGGAAAGGTTCGAGTCTAGCATACGCAAGGTATCTCCGACTCTCTGACTGATGGTTACTTGTATATAGAGGGATGCATGGAGGATTGGATCAGACCCATGTACATCAGCAAGTTAGACCAGTAGTGAGATGTCTACTTCCGCGTTATAGATTTTTCTGTACATAAGATAACACTGTGTATAATTCTGACTATTTTTCTCTTTTTCACTAGTGTGGCATGGAGTGTTACTTCCTTTGTGTAGAGCTATGGTTCCCTTATCATCTAGAGTAGAGTGATGCTCATGAGTGTGGAGTGAGTATCGATTTATGATACTTTGACACTTGGATACCTTGAGTCTTTGTTGGATACTATAATCCTGTGTTGGATACTTGAACTCTTTGTGCGATACGTTGATTTTTCGATAAGGACAGAAGTCTTTGCTTGTTGCAGGGCCCCATATCCTGTGTACATATGTGAGTCTCGAACCTTGTTTTTCTTGTGTGTATGGTGTGTCACACTCACTCTCAGTTTGTGGACTTGCCCATATGGATGATAGTATGAGGAAATGACTGTTGTGAAGTAAGCTGATATGCGCTTTCTTCCGCTGTACTTGCGCATCCTTGTCCCAATGACAAGTGGAGCCCAAAGTACAATAGGAGAGAGTGCTCTCAAATTTTTGAGAAAGAGATGACATGATGTTGTGTATTTCTGGGTGGCCCGGAAAAGAGAGAGGAAAGCCCAATGGTCGAGTGGACTTTCTTGAAGAGATGATAATTGTGAGAGCACTAAAAAAACATGCTATAATGATGATAAATTTTTGTGTGTATGTAAAGCCTGACAAGGAAAGACCAAATATTTTGTGAGAATAATGGATGGAAATTTCTGGCAATTATGATGGAACCCTGAAAAATATTTTGAGAGATGTCCCTAAGATTCGTGTGACCTCACCTACTCTTGGTCGAAGTAAGGGAGGCACGACCTTGTGAAATTACTGAGGAATTGGTTGGAATGATTGAGAAAGGCATTATCCCTCCACATAGTCCCGTGGACAGTTGGTATGTGACCCTTTGTTTGTTCAAAATGTTTTTTTGAAGAAAGTGTCAGACTACAATGGAGTTAATCTAAGGAATATATTTTGTGAGGCCAAGCTAAGGGGTTATACTTAGCATCGCTGGAACTATGGAACCTAACTCCCAGCAAAGGTCACTGGCCGGCGCAACCTGGCAGCGGGACTGTGATTTACCAAAGGTTAAGTTTTGAAGGGTCGGTCGCTCGGAGAGGTTTAGCCAGAAGGAAGGTCATTGGGGTTGATTAGATCAAGAGTCGGGACCCTTTGGGGTTGCGCAACCAACGAGGGCACCATCGCTACATAACAACACGATGGGCCGTGGATTCGGCGTGATCGGCCGTTCCATGATGGGCCAAGATGGAGACCTGAAGCCGCCAGTGTTAGACTCCAGGATGGGCGTTCATTATGATTGAATATTTGAGATGGTAAGCATTACCATTTGGGGACTAAAGGTGCCCCGCATCTTGAGAGGTCTCGGTTAGGGCCCGCGTCCTAAGTTATGACCCCTTACGCAGGACGATGACTAAACAGAACACCCAACGGTGAACCGGCAGATGTCTACGACAAAGGGAGAGGACTATCAACCTACTACCTAGGAGCGGGTATTACGCTGTAGTACGGAACAAAGTATCCCCTAACTCCGAGGTCAGGACGTGGGAGACCCAGGTTGAAACCCTGTCAGAGGAACGTCGTGACGGGAGCAGATTGATAAGAACACCTCGAACGGAGTCGAGCCGTTGAGTCAGAATGGTTACTTTCTCGTCAGCAAATGTGGTTGTGTTTATAGTTTTGATTGTCCGACGCGATGGGGACGTCGCTTAATAAGGTCCGGAAAACTGTCGGCCCGAATACCCTTACAAGGGTATTTGGACACATTTTTGCAGCTTACAGGAAGAAAGTTGTTGGTGATATCTAGGGGTGCGTCCCATCTTTGTTGATTAGAGAGTGTGTGAGCATGCACTTTGCGGGCACGCGTTAGCCGGGCGAAACGATTGATCAAGGCAGGCTATGAGACGCCGGTAGAACAAGTAAGTGCTAGACTAGAGTTTCTGAGGAAATCGCAACCTCGCGCGCTCAGGCAAAATTTCGGACAGCATGAAGTTGACTTGGTAAGGCTGTGACTAGAGGAGGATGTTGTCTGACTTACTGGGGACCGGCGTTTGAGGGTCGCACCGCCTGAAATTTCGCAGGCACTAGGTTGACCATGCATCGCCGACAGTAGGAGTCGTCGCTGAAACCAAGTAAGGATGGCACAAACTAGAGTGGAAGTCGAGGTTTCGTCGGCTGAAGGGCGGTAAAAAGGCGGTCGTGGCGGGCTATGAGAGGCTTGGTCCACATAGCACGTGGCGGGCTATGAGAGGCTTGGTCCACAGCCATAGCATGGTGGAGCAAGTGCATGTGGCGGGCCAAATGGAGCCTTGCCCTCAAGACAGCCAAATGCGGCATTTCGAGGGCCCTGGAACGCGGGCTGTAGGTTAGAAAACGGCCTGAGGCCCCGCCTAGAGGCCCAGGCCGGCCGGTCATCCTATTCACATACCGGGAAGCGTACAGCCAGGCCAGGCTTGGGCTTAGCCCTACTAGTTACAGCATTGAACTTCCACCAGGTGGATCCCGGGATCGAGGCCAGCAGCCAACATTGGAGGAGCAGAGGAGCGTTACAGAGCGAACTGAGGGGTCGAGGGTCCCGCGGGACTATCCCTCTTAGTTTTGCTGGGGGATCCGACCGTGGGCCCGCGGGGCAGGACCGAGTACCAATGGTTCCTATCCCATTTTCCTAAAAAAATATTCTAAGAGTTATTATTATTATTCGGGAAAATTTGTTTGGCGCCATTGTATTTTCCATTTATTTGCGCCGCGCCCCTCTGACATGCGAAATACCCTGCCGCGCCCCTCTGACCAGTAGTGGAATGTTTCATAAACCCCTGGCGTCGTTTGGGCCTCACATGTTTTTGTAGTGCCCCTACCGGTACCCACAACAAATTTGTGTCATGCCCCTACCGGGACCGTCAATCTTTTCACTGTGCCCCTGTCGCCGTTGGAAGCACTCAAGGGAATTTCAACCCGCCCTTCCATAGGTCGTCTGCCTGTCTGCTCTCTCTCTCTCTCTCTCTCTCTCTCTCTCTCTCTCTCTCTCTCTCTCTCTCACACACACACACACACACACACACACACACACACACACA